TACTGAAAGTATTGTCGAAGGGTTCATTTGCACTTTAAACAAGCTTCGAGAAAAATTGTACCTGGTTTGTGCAGTGGAAAAACCTACTTTATGAAATCACTTGCGCATGCGCCTTGAAATGCTCAGCAGTACTTTGAAGATACGGAGTTGGAAGTACACCATTTTCGATGCATGTAATGCATGTATGCTAATATGAATATGTATGTCAATAATATAAAATAACTGTATTTATCCTTTAACCGAATAGGACAAATTAAATAAATTGTACCCGCTATTTGAATAAGTTAATTCAATTGTTCGTTTTTCCAAAAGTAAATAGTGTCAGAAGACAAAAACTAAATTCTTTCCAAGCACAAAGGACAGTGTGGCACAGCTTCCTGATCTGCGCTAGAAAATATCAACATTTCAGCTCGTTCAACTGAATATAACGAGCTAAAGGTTTGCGCAAGCAACACACAAACCAAGCGCAAGTTTAAAACTCTGAACTGCTGGATTCCGCACCCATTGCGTCGTCTTTATGCATCTGAATTTCTCTGAAAAAATATTTGATTTTTTTTTCTGTTGCCCCAATATAAACGAATAGTAGAGGTGGGTTGGGCTTCCTGTGGATTTTCTCTCTTTGATACGCGCCCGCGATCATTTCAGCTGACTATTCCAAGATGGCGGATCTTGAAGTGGGTTTTGAAAAGCAAACGTGAAGAAGGAAAAATCAAAGGCACACGAAAATAAAGATCCTATTAGCTGTTTATTAATTTGGACAAAACATCGAAGGTCAAATATGGAAGTATACTCCAAAGCTTCTAGTGTTTCTGACGCAGAGGAAGTCAAAGAGCCTTGTGAAGTTCAAATCAAGAGTGGCAAAAAGATTAGGGCTTGTATTTCACAGGCTCTCAAGATACTGCAGGTAGGGTTGAAGTGTTGAACGAAGAGTTTTCATGGAACTAATGCTGATATCCTTAATCGTTTCACAGTAAGGTGAAGGTTTTTCTGTTCTATCCTTTCCCCTTGGAATACTCCTTTACATTTCCGTTCAGTGACCGACTCAGTGACCACGAATAATAGTTCCAAGTTGAGGCTGGAGTTTCTGCGCACAGCAAAACTACAGTTTATCATGCTCGGCAACTCTATCTCTGGCTTGGAACTATTATTCATGGTCACTGAACAGAACTGTAAAATGGAGTATTTGGAGTAGCAAATAAAAAAGTTTTAATGACCCTTTGGATATGGCAGGACACTCTAAGATAAAACTGTATGCATGTGTATTGGTGGGAAAATGCTACATTGCACCCTTACACCAAGAATAGAGTAACTATAGCATATACCCAGCAAAAAAGACAAAAGGAAAATAAAAGAAGCTTTGCATCAAAGATAAGAAATGTATTACCTGTACCTTACCCTTTCCCAATAGAATGAAGCACTTTACTTGGAAGTGGCTATACATGTATGCATGCTACATGTCAAAAATGTGCCTTACCCTTTCCCAGTAGAATGAAGCACTTTACTTGGAAGTGGCTACACATGTGTGCATGCTACATGTCAAAAATGTGCCTTACCCTTTCCCAGTAGAATGAAGCACTTTACTTGGAAGTGGCTACACATGTATGCATGCTACATGTCAAAAATGTGCTTTACCCTTTCCAAATTAATTTATCATTCTATGATATCATACTTCATGCATTGAATTTTTATGTTTATTGCCAATAATTTTTCAGACTACAAAAGAGAAAGTCATCATCACTGGAAGTGGCCCAACAGTAACCAAAGTGATAACAACAGCTGAAATTGTAAAGAGAAAAGTTAAGGTATTTATTAGCACATACATCTACGCTGTACTTATTAAGAGATTCTGTTTCCATAGTGACTTACTTGGACTAGACTGCATTGCGTCCAGACAGATAATGGGGTATTTTTCCGAATACAATGTAGCTTTACTTAGAGCCTTAGAAATCATAGTCATGAGAGGTTTTGAATATTGTTTATATTCTGAATATAGAGATAAATGTAGGAGTAAAAAAACAAAAGAAAAATATTGCAAGTAAAACAGGATTACTGAGTGAAAGTTAATTATTTTACTGATTTATTGGTAAAATATATATGAGCTGGCCTTTTTCCTATTGCTGTTAGTATTGCACTTTCCACGGATATACATATGAGAATTGGTGCTCAAGTATATATACTGTTAGTCAGTATTTAGTTACTATTGAGCTGCCTCTGTTATGTCAATGGAATCCCATCATGAATATGAGATCATTTAAAAAAAATTGAATTTGTTTGTAGGGCCTTCATCAACAGAATACTTTGTTTTACAACAAGTAAGTTACTAGCTCTCTTTTCATTTTGGTGCTTGGCATTTATTTCCTGATTAGAGATAACTGTATTATGTAATATTGTTTTCCTTAGAACTGAAGATTTTTGGGAACCAAAACAAGAGGGGTTAGACAGGTACCTGATTGAATCTAATTACAAATCACTCTAACTTTTATATTACTATTTGAGCTTGAAAAAGGCTTATAGTATGAAACATTTTGTTGGTTTCAGGCTTAAGGTGACAAGAAATATTCCATCCATAAGGATACTTTTGTCAAAAGTACCTCTTGATGAAAAAGCACATGGGTAAGCTACAGCTCTTTCAAAAAATGATTGGTGAAGGTTTTATGGCATGTGTTTATTGCATGCAGCATGTGGCTTGTTGCTTGCCAAGCTTGAAATGTGTCTTGTTGCATTTGTTTGCAAAATTTTGAAATAGAATCACTAGTTATCCATAATAAAATACAAATCATAGGATAAAAGCTGCAAATTCAGCATTTAAAAAGCGTCTATGTTCCGTACGATCCAGCCAACCGAAGTCCAGGCCATTCCACATATGTACGGTTCCTGATTTTCCAAAACTAAAAACCACTCAAAATTTTGGGATATAGAAGAGGAAAACAAGTTTTAGAATTTGGGCATGTTTTTGCTATACATTAAAAGTATCCATGGCCTTTCAAAAGGTAAAAATTCAAAACATTTGACTGGGTTGTCTGTTGCAGCCCAGTCGTAAAGTGCCTTTAGTTTTTTTGTAGTCTCAGTTCTCGTGAAATGTGCATTCTTGCACAAGAGTACCCATATATGGATTTGAATGACGTGTTCATAGATAAATGGCTTATAGATTGGCTTAGCAGCTGAGGATGTAAAAGAAGGTTTCTAGGATCTTAATTCAGATATTTGTTAGTATTAATACAGCTATTCAGTCGGCAGTATTCTGGCTTTAATCGCGTGGGTTAGTAGAGCCTAAAGGAAAATACGGCTTTCAGTCTCTAGTTAATCTTGAAGGGGTATACATAAATATATTGTTAAATACTATGCTGTAATAAAGCTGGTAACTTTGGCTGTAAATACTTTTTGCTAAGTTTTGAATCCTGTTACTAACCAAGTTTCACAGTTCCATGAGCCATGAGTCTTCAGGTCAATTTTTAGTTGTTGTCTGTCAGTGACATCAGTAACCCAACACTCTCCAGTTACAAAACCACATCTTTCTCCGGTTACAAAACCGCATCTTTATAGTTTTACCTATCAATTGTCACTTCCCTTCACTGGTTAAAACTGGTTATACAAAATAAAACACATTTAAAAGGTGTACACTTTTGAAGAAATTTGATGTGAAAAAAAATAAGTGTTCGCAAGTTCTGAAAGAAAAGTACCTGCTCCCAAATAGCGGTACATAATGAAGATTAGGTGTTAAATAAGCTCCAGCAACCAGCACATTGGGCAACCCAGTGCATGCTCCAAGAGCGTCTAGCGAAAATTTCTAGAGCATGCCTTCCTAAGACTCTAGTCTTGTCAGCGGGACTACATGTACAGAGTAACCTAAGAAGTGGGAGGAGGGGGAGAAGGATTTAGATTGGACAATATGGCAGACTAGTATTTCCAAGACTAAAAATAGTGTTGTTTAGACTTTCTGGAATATTACAGTATTTTGCTAAAAAATGGGAAGGGGCTATATCCTCTGCACTCATTTGGTTAGTGAAGTTGTGCATAAAAAAAACATTTTAAATTTTATCAATAGCATGAAATGAACTCTGGGCTGATGAAAGTCAGGGCACAGCTAACTCACAAATCAAATTGGAATTTAGCTTGGAATATATGGGGTAATAGACGTTTTATTGTGTTTTGTCATAGATACCAGGCACCTGGAGTATCTCAGCCATTAATACAGTTTAGAGATGAAGACATAGAGCTGGCTGATGAACAGTATGAAGGCAAAAGTCATTTAAGACAATCTCCGCATCAGCACCAAAGAACTGGGTTTAAAAATAACCGAAAACAAAAACCAAAGTCACATACAAAACATTCAAATCAAAAAGGAGAGGAGAAAAGTGAAACAGAGAAAGGAGATGATGGAACACACAAAGACCGTGAAGTAAAAAGAAGCGTACCACAGAGTAGGGGAACGAGAAGGAAGCATGGAGGTTACCATGGTGGACAACAACTATCAAAAAGACAACATTCAGATAAAGAAATGCCTAATCAAAAGACTGAAATACCAAAAATTGATGAAAACACAAATGGAACAGCAAAATTAAGACCTCCCCAGGCATCTTCATAGTATAGAAAATATTTATTGTCAATGCTGATTTGGGATTTAATTTTGTTATCTAATATTTTGCACTATTCTGAGCAAGAGTGCTTTCACAATTCCCTTCTCTTCTCTTTCTTGTCTAAATACTTACAATCAGCTGCACAAGAAAAAATTCATAAAAAATAAGATCTACTATCCGGAAGCACCAACCGAGACCACTGAACAAGTTAACCAATCACAAAACAGAGGAGTTGAAATTGTTCTGTCCCTTTAGGTAGACATCACCTTTGCCTTTGGCTCAGTCAATGAAAATTCCCAAAAAATCTTGACCAACTTTTATCTATATCATCTTTGGAACCAAGGGCTCAAGAAACAATCAAAAGAATTTCAGTCCTGGATTCAGGACAAGTGTTCAAAAACGAGGTCACCCAGTCATTAGTTTACGATAAAAGATATAAAAGCACATGAAATGCATTAATGGAAGAAAAGTATTTAAATTGGCGCTATCCACCTTCATCTTGATTTAGCAGCCTTGCAAGATTGAAAGAACCTACATAGCACTCAGTTGGTGTAATATATTCAGAAAATCTATTGTATTGTATTGTCGTTCTATCTATTRTATTAGGTGTGATTCATTATATTTTTTATGAACACATTACAACAACTGCTTGCTACGTACAGGCTCTCCCTTGCAAGATCACGGGGTGATCTCATTTCTCGTTTTTGTACGCTTGTCAGTCATTATGAGAAAGGTGTATATATGTATATATATATAAGCTTTGGTTATCTTTTATGATTTTGCTGCCATTGCATTTTCAATGGCCATGGATATGATGATTACATAAAGCATTTCATGAAAAGTTTGGGCATTATTTCCTAAATACAGCTTATTATGTATTTGATAAAAATGAAAAAGTAGCTCATTGGCAGATCCAGAATGATCTTAAGTTGGATGGCTGCTGCCTTATCCTCTATTCTTATGATTAATCTCCAAAGGGGGTGACTAGACACCTAATCCACCCCCTGGATCTGCACCTGTTGCTATTAAACAGCAGTACTTGACTCTTGTAATGTGAGTTCTTCAAATCTTTCTCTATCCAGTGTAGTTATCCTTGTTCTGCATAGCACACACTTAAGAGGAAGGTTAAAATCATTGACAGCCACTTGTAAAGTCCTCACAAAGCATCCTCTACACAGTACTTTATGCTTGCAGGGGAAGGTCTGAATAACAGCTTTGGCACTGTTGCAAACAATACACTAAAATGAAAAAACAATCATTAAATGAAGGTTATTATGCGATTTACCAATGAAGGATAAGATCAAAATGATGGCCCACTTCTGAGACATGCTTTGCTTGTTGCACACAAAAGTTTCAATATGCTGCTAAATCAAATTTATTTTTCTCCTATCACAAATCACTGAGCATTATGCATGAAGCCTCATATTTAAACACTTGTGCAAGACAAACAAGGGCTATTGTCATCTTATAGAACCTGATTTAGAGGGCAAGGGTGGGGTACCTCAGGTACCCACCACCATACATTTGGATGTTTTGTCTCTTGCAAAAAAATTCAGTCTTTCAGCCATATATACATTAATGTATAATCATGATGGTTGGTCTGAAAACATTGATGGACACTTTAATATTACTTGGAAAAGCATTTGAAGCACCGAAATCAGTTGAGAAACCTGATATTAGTCCAAATTTTTATCACTTTTTAAACTATTATTTTAAATTACACATACAGCAAGCTTGAACTATTTGTTGAGGTTGGTAAACATAAATGTATATACTTATTTCAATAAAGTTTATAGTCACCAAAAACCTAGAAAGCTGTGATCGCTGAGAATCATGGGGAAATGTTTTATATCCAACAAGTAAAGCTTTTGACACAAACTGCAGCAGTTGAGGATGCTCAGAGGAGGTTAACTTGTAACTGGTAGAAGATCTCAGATCCATCAACAGTTATCAAGCGGTTGAAACATGTAAGATGTATCTACCCATAATCCTTGTCGGTCTCAGCTTTGTAGCTTTTCAAGTGACTAACTTTATTGAAATAAGTGATATAACTCCAAACAAACCTCATCATCTTCATTGTCTGCAGTCTCAGGGACTATTTGATCAAGAGAAACTAAAAGCCTGTCCTGAAATAAGCATAAAATGTGTCAGAGCGAAGAGAAAAGCAGACACAACCAACAGCACATCAAACAACAGAGTCAGCAAATATAATCTCTTGTAAACTTACAAGTTTTGACCGGAGCTCTGTTACTTTCTGCCTTCTTCTTTCTCTGAGGTCTTGCTGGTCCTCAGGTTCTCTTGGATGATGGGTTTTCCGAAGATATAGGTACAAGAAGTACATACTTGGTAATAGTGCCAAACTGAGAAGGCTCACAACAACGGTATGACGCTTCAAAAACGGCAAGAAGGAAGTCATGATATGATGGCTCGCCTAGTGATGACGTTTCCTTCAGGCTTGGTCTTGAATATAGAAGCAAAGTAATCAAGGTCTTATATCATAATAAAAACATTCTTTTAATCGAAAAACGTAATGAAAAAGAAACATTAATAATCTCACATCAGTTTCATTTCAATGTGTACTTTAATTAGCCTCCCATCCGCTGGCTTTAAACTCCGCTGGCTCATACATTAACACAGGAAGCCCAGTACGATAAAACCCAAAATATTCAGTCCTCCTAGGCCCTAAACATAATATTTTTGAATTTTTATTACATTCGTAGTCCATAATTAGTAAACTTATCTTCAAATACGTTTGTCTGCCCACTGGTACATTAAATTTCAAACCTTTGTAATATAGAGCTTTTTACCTAAAAGGAGTCAAGAGTTTGAAATGGGTGTGTCCCTCAACTTTTGTGACTTCTCGTTTCTACAAGTCTGTTTTTTGCCCTCATCTTGAGAAAGCTGTTTATAAATAGCTTGCCATCCTTCATAGAAACTATTATATTCAAGCAAAGAATCCATTGAATTTAGTGTTAGAAGGGTTTTTAAAAAGTATTGAATGTTATAATTTTAATTACACCTGCCACTTTAATTAATTGCAGTAGAATGAATAATTCCTACACCACCATCAACCAACAAATTGTCAGGTACAAGAGTGCAGTTTCATCTTTGTCTGGTAGGATTGAATATTTCAAGGTGGGGTTGATACCACATCCATTACCTTTTTACATGTTATACTAATAAACCTAATGTACTACAGCTTCCTCTTGTGAAATATGGCAATATTTATTCTTTTTTTCCTCCAGAGTGGTGTCCACCCTTGCCTTTCTTGAAGCAGATCTCTGTCAAAGATTGAAACACGATACATTTTGTATAAAACTAAACACATGTGCTGGCCAAACTAGCTAAGGATGGTTTTGATTTGTAATTTATGCATTGTGTTTAAGCATTTTTCTATAATTATCAACCTCATGGTAAGGTGGGAGAAATATTACTATCATCACCACAACAGATGCTTTAAAGTCATAAGTGCAATAAAAGCTCCTAATATCAATGTACAATTAATGAAATGTAGAGCAGATATATTCATACCTCAAAGTGACAATAAAAGTGATTTTTAAGATATGATCCACCATCGTCTGACTATAATTAGAAAGTGAAAACCTTCTACATATTTGGTAGGATTCTCCTAGGTTATCTATCATCACCTTGAGCCAATATGAGAAGAACATTCTTAGGATTCAGGAAGGTTAATCTACAATTATATTGGTGTTATTTATAATACTCACACTACATCATATTATCTAAATACAATAAACACAAATCAATAACTTCAACTTACCAATGATTACTAAACAGTTTAATTGTTTTCTACAAAATTTATTTTACGTTATCAGAAATCATTATATTTTAAGGGTTTATTGGCCAATTAGCAAAATGATATACAGAAAGATATTATGAAAATAACGGATGCCTTTATAAGTGCTGTGCAAACATGAAAGAATAACTGTTTACAGTGAACAACTTATTGTTTGAAACGAAAGTTATTCATTGTAGATTCTGAATGAAGTGACATTCATTAGTTATTTGCTCGAGTAAGCTTTTCCAAGTGGAACCTTACAACGCCTAAAAGGATTATCCTAGCAAAGGGTCAGAGAAAATTCACAACTGTACGATTACACATGTATCTGCAGCACACAATTATTATCAGTAGGAATAGGAGCTTTACAATGCCAGTTAAGAGTTAGTAAAACAAATGATTGTTCTTTAATAAAAGTTCTTCAATCCTCCCATATTTTAAATATTAGTCATTATCATCTTTCTTGCCGTGCTTGAGGATACGTGTAAATGTGTTGTAATCCAAATAGCCTTCCTTGTCAATGGGAGCGTCTCGAAGGATATCATCTACTTGCTCTTCAGAAAATCGATCTCCCATCGTCATCATAGCCTCTTTAAGTACATCTTCGTGTATTTTACCACCGCCTTCTTCATCGAAGCAAGTAAAAGCGTTACGAATAACATCTTCTGGATCAGTGCCGTTTAGCTTCTCTCCGAACAAAGTTAAAAACATGGTAAAGTTGATGGGCCCAGGAGACTCGTTCACCATGTCTTCGAGGTACTTATCCGTTGGATCTTTACCAAGGGAGGCTAACATGTCGTGGAGATCTTCTTTATCGACAAATCCATCGTGGTTTTGATCAATCATATTGAATGCTTCCTTGAACTCCTGAATCTGGCTCTGGTCAAACATGGCGAACACATTTGAAGTAGCTCTGTGAGCCCTCTTTTTGGTTGGCTTCTTCGTTTTACGGCTAGCCATCTTGAAAAGGATAAACCTATCAACTTGAACTCGACCAGTTGATGGTTTCTCGTGTGAGAATTGATGAAGAAGAAGCAGATTATTAGATTTTTTAAGCTCCACTCCCCACAAAAGTAAAGTAGAGAGACGAAGCTCAATATTCACAATCTCCCGGATATGATTACGAATGCCATGAATGCATGACGTCATACAGCTCCACCTTGGACACTTGGTCACGAAAACTACAGTCACGCGGTACAATATAGGAAGCCAAAATATAATCATTTCCTCTGAGTAATAAAATAGTTGAAACACGACAGTCCTATTAGGGCCCATTACGCCTTCCTTAAAAAATGAATAATACTATCAATCAAAATTTAGTTCACAATATATTTTTGGTGCGTATATTCCTACCTATGACACCCCTTGCTTATTTTTGACGTAATTTATCTTAACTTTTATTCCAGTTGTAATAGTATATTTATAAGGCAATTTCTATAGTTACTTAAGATGGTGAAATGTAAATTTTTTTAAACGTTTAAACAATTAGCATAAATTAGGCTAAATTGAATATTTGTCTGTAAATTGAAAGCAGATTATTAGGCAGTTAGTGTGATTCCAATACCTTATACCTGTTTATAGACCTTAAAGAAAATAAAGCGAAGGTTAACGTTGATTCAGCTTTTGCTAATAGCTCATTAGGCTAGAGGCATTAGAAAATTAGAATGCTAAAAACAAACTCTTTTTCTATAAAAAGTTATAAGATGCTGTTGAGAAATGGGCTAGAAAAAGAATGAAAAAAAACGATGGTTCTCAACTGATTAGTACCCAGGTGCTGTACAATAGTCCAGATTTACATTCAAATAAATTTCCACTCAAATACTGTAAAAACCTGTATTTTTAACCGTGTTTAGTCATTGTCATCTTTCTTGCCATGCTTGAGGATACGTGTAAACGTGTTGTAATCCAAATAGCCTTCCTTGTCGATGGGAGCGTCTCGAAGAATATCATCTACTTGCTCTTCGGAAAACCGATCTCCCATCGTCATCATAGCCTCTTTAAGTACATCTTCATGTATTTTACCCCCGCCTTCTTCATCGAAGCAAGTAAAAGCGTTACGAATAACATCCTCTGGATCAGTGCCGTTTAACTTCTCCCCGAACAAAGTTAAAAACATGGTAAAGTTAATGGGCCCTGGAGACTCGTTGATCATATCTTCCAAGAACTTGTCAGTGGGGTCTTTACCCAGGGAAGCCAACATGTCGTGTAGATCTTCCTTGTCCACAAATCCATCGTGATTTTGATCGATCATATTGAACGCTTCCTTGAACTCTTGGATTTGAGTTTGGTCAAACATGGCGAACACATTAGAGGTTGCTCTTTGGGCTCGCTTTTGAGTTTTTCTCGTTTTGCGACTGGCCATTTTGTCTCTTCGCAACTGTGACGAAATTTTCTCAGACTCGCTAGTTTTCAGAAAAGGAAATTTTGCCCCTATCAAGCAGTGAAATCTTCCTTAAATGAAGATTTCAGATGTATCTCCGAGATAACTAATACGCTGTCGAGATTTCTTGGATACGAGAATATGTGCAAACAAAAGCGAGGTAGAAATTGCCATAGGGGGGCGCGGCTATGAAGGAGGTAAAGACAATTAAATCCGACTCTACACGTAAGGTGTCAACAGGCTTAGTTTGTTCAAAAACACGACCTTTGGATTTGAAAAACAATAGCTTTTGCTACTGAAATAACAATTTATCTCGAGAAAATAGATGCCTTGGTATTAAAATGCTAAATGTTGTAGACTTTAGTGTTTTCAATATTGCACCTTTTTACCACTCATTAATAAAACTGATATAAATCCATCACTTCAAACAAACGCCGATGTTTAGAATAGATCAATATTGAATTAATTGACAGATAGCATAGTTAATATTCACAATGCACAGAGAAAGCTATAAATAGTTGAAGAAAGTAAACATTCACAGGAAATGACATATATAAATATTTTCGTCAGACAAGAAATTGAAAAATCATTTTGTCAGAGTTTTATTTTGTATATACTTTTAGTATTGTATCTTAAAGTTAACAATTTTTTACATTCTTAGCTCTTGGTGACTGACTGTAATTGAAATATAACTGACATAAAAGTATCATAAAACGCCAACTAGTTTTTGTTTGGTTAAAGTTTTTCCTTCTTTTTAGTGTTCAAGGGCCATCAACATTGACTTTCTTTTCTTTCAATTCTTCTTATTGAAAATAAGTTGAAATCATAGGTACTTCGGATATTAAAAAATATAACTTCCTTAAGGTTGTCTTAGTTTGTTTTCTAGATGTGTCCCTTTGGGGTGATACATATGACAATGTAATAAAGTCCCTGACATATCCCATAGTGCAATACATAAGGTACCCTAAGGTATCCCATGATGGATGCAATACTCTAAGAGGTAGTCTGAAGTATACCATTACACCACTAGGACAATTTCCAAACTTTTTTTTTTTTGCCTCCATTATTTTTCATAAGTTACTTTCTATATTATTGTGCTGTTCAGCTATCAGTTTTGTAAGGCTTGGCCCAAGATTTCACACTCTGCTGGTGCATTAGTAAAGATGCTGCCAACAAATGCATGTGTTCCCCAGAGATGGTGACTGATAGCTTTACAGCAGCCAAGATCAAGGACATCAAAGCCAAGATGGTTGAATCTATCATCTGTCTCAAACAAGGTGGAGTTGGTACGGGGACCAAAGGACTGAAAATAAGTTGATGATAACATGATAAGTTTGTATTGGCAAAAATTAAGCAATCATGACTGGTTGCCTGTCATGTGAGAATAAAATAGTATAGAATGGGTGGGGTTGGTATTGGGACCATAGAACTGATATTATGTTACACATGATGAGTTTGTACAGATAAAAATTGAGCAATCATGACTGGTTGCCTGTCATGTGAGAATGAAATAGTATAGAATGGGTGGTGTTGGTATGGGAACCAGAGAACTGATATTATGTTACTTATGATAAATTGCCATGGATTAAAGTTGTGCGATCTGATTTTTTGTCTGGAATGTAGGAATCACATATTATAGAGTAAATAGATTTAGAAGATCCAAAATTCAATCAAACATTAGGTCTAAAGTTAAGCACTGTGTTATGGCTACTTACAGCTGTGCCTGATGATGGGTCAATAAAGTCTGCCCAATAACCAGCTGCAGACAAGTTGCCACAAATCTCTTTAGCACTCTCAACAAACTGATGGTAAAAAGAAAGTTGCAATATGGAAAATTATTGGTTTGCAAGGTTTTGATATTGATTGATTGATTGAAGACTTTATTTAATGAGGGTGACACATGACAGTAATTTTGTTAACTGATTAACTTGTGACCCTCGAGTTTTTTTTTTTTTGGAATGGGCACTGAAGATGGTCGTCACCAGCRTCTTCAGTGGATCTTTTACGTCCACCTTATACAGGGTTATATAGTGAAGACAGACGGGGCCTATGGTTTTAAGTCCTTGTCCGAGAAGACTTGAAAGTCTAACCATATGCAGATATAATTACAAAGGCAGCACCTTCTCCTCAGTTATTTTAAGACCCTGAGTGTTGGTCCGGCTGGTGTTTGAACCACGACCTTCCGCACAACAGACAGAAGCTCTTACCAACTGAGCTAACTGGGTGGCAGATATCAAGGACCTGTGATGGTATTCCACTCACTTTGCACTTCACGATCCTGAACTATGCATCACATGTAAAGTCTTTTCATACTCTCACTATATTTTCTTCTAAATTTGTAATGCAACTACAGCAATTCCATGCATGTTGTCAAGTGGCAGTTAACATTTACCATTTGTCTTACTATGATTATAAGGCAATAGAGAAAGCAGTCATGTAGGGATAGCGTGAGGATGGCAAGACCAGGGCAGCTATGCTATGATGAAGATGCAAGTGCATTCAAAAGCTTTTTGTATATGCCCCGTCATTCTTGCAATTGCTGTTTTCTCTAAGACTATCTAAAATTAGTAAAAGGACCAACTGTTTTTCTAGTGAGGATGGTAATACCAAGGATGATGCCGCACTCATGAAAAATGGTTTTCAAAACATGCTCACATTATCTTTTTGGCATCATTGTCTGAAGGCTTGTCAATGCATAAGTTCTCTAGTAAAACCATGTAACCAGCATTTTCCCTTTCCTTTCCCTTACATACTGTTACATACTGTAACAAATTTAAAACTTACATTCTTCATTAAGGCTTCTCGCTCTTCTTGAACCTCCATTGACCAGATGCTCATGTCATTCTTAGAGTGCTGACTAACACTTATTACTGTTAGTTCACCTGGTTTAAGAGTTTTTTCTGGGAAGAGCTCCATGAAACCACGATGAAGAATTTTAGGGCAGGTCTGTATGGTGCATTCCACTGTCCCAATCTGTTCCTTGTTAACTTCTTGTTTTTCACTAGCCTATAATGATAAATGAATGAATGTAACCACACAGCTGTAGCATACACTATTGGCTTGGTTTTCTATTTAGAGAATGTTTTTGCACCAAGTGGCCTCACTATACTGGGATTTTTGATTGAGCTTGGAATGCTTTGCTATTTGATCTCATAACTATATGTTTTTATTCAGTACCTTTTTTTAACTAAAAGCTAAAGTGTTCCAAGCTCAACTGAAAATTGCAGCATTATGGTGTTGACCAGTTGGAGTTGGGTCCACAGGGCTACAAATTATGGTTGATTAATAGACAGTGCCCCGACAAAAATGGCAATTGTCCAGACAAAAATGACACTTGTCCAGACAAAAATGGCACTTGTCAAGATAAATACTTCTTGTTTCCAGTCCTCTTAATGCAGTTTGTCTGAGCAATATCCATGTGGCTGGCCATCATTATGTCTGGCCAGTGAACAGCAATTATCTTTAGCCCTGGGTCAAGGAAGAGGCCATATCTTCATTACAGGTTTGTATGCAGTACAAAAACAACTAGGGAAGTAGTGGTCACTAGCACATTACTGGTAAACAAACCAATGATTCTCTTTACTTCTGTCAAGATGAAAAGCTACTCACTGTTGCCGAGTCCATTCCTTCTTCCTCAAGGTCGTTTAGGAAAGATCCAAGAGATCTAAGTTTTTGAGAATCCTCAGCATTTACTTCAAGGAAAACATTGACAAGGTTTCTTGTAGATATAGGGGTAGTTATATCATCCTCTTTCTTGTCCACTGGAATACCCATATTACCAGGCAGAGGAAACCTTGGATCTTTTTGTGCAAATGGCCCAAGTCTCTTTTCTGACCACTGTTGTCCAGTTACTAGAATAAAGATAGTGGCGACATATAAGATATACGAGCCTATACTCCAGCTTGGAATTCTCTTTTCTACATGGTTGGCCTCAATTTTGTATGGAATTATTAGGAATATTTATGCATTTCAATGAAGGTCTGTGGAATATCAAAGTGTTTGTATCGTTGAAGTTGTACATTCTTTTTCTTATCATTGGTATTTGTGAGTATTTAGTCACTGAAATGAGGTTACCCTAATTAAATGAGTCTGTGATCAAGGAACACAGAGATATCGGACTAATTTGAAAATGGTCTATTTTAGCCTACTGTAGATGGTATTTAAGATTTATTTCCAGCATTTTTTAAAGTATTTCTGTCAGAGCCTAAATATCTTGCACTGGCAGCCATTGACACCTGATTAGATTCATCCTGATAAACAAAAATATAAATTTATTTATCATACACCTGTTTCAAAAAGCGATGTTGGTTGGAGATTTGAAATTTGAAATGTGAGACTAAGCAGCAGACTGCGAAGTTAAATATTTTCAATACCCAACAATGTAATTTCCTTTTAGATTGGAATATGACTTCAGCACAACCTCTAAGTTAGGAATGTAATTTTTCTTATTTTCACCAGAAAACATAAAAGCACAAAAATTCTGTTTAGTCTCAGATCGCCCATTTCAGATACAGTTCTCTGACTGACAATTTTTTTTGGAAATAGGTGTATACATAGATTGATTACATGTTATGGTAAGAAGCTTACTCTTTTTGTCCCTATGGCTAGCAGTTCCAATACTAGATGTGCTCAGCTGCATATATGCCACCATACTTGATCTTGTCCGGTTTACAAAAGCTCTTAAGTTGGGAAAATACCAGACGGCACGGCTTGTTTTGCTCAAAGCCTAATAGTGATATTAACATAATATTAATTTATTGGTATGGATGATCTATGGTACAAAGGCATCATCCTATCATCAATGCAAGGCTTGTGGCAAAGGAATTGAGTTCATTAATTGATGTTTTGTTCTCTCCTAAGCAACAATGGTTTTTCACTGGAATTTTCGGTTTTTCTCCCATTGACATGTGAGAGTTGTGTGTAGAGAATATCTGAATGTAGTACAAAGTGTGTATGGAGGACACATGGCTTCAAAAGCCTCTAGCTTTAAGGCCTACCATGTATTAACAAAAAATATTATTATCATTATGCATCATAGCAGCATAAACAGGGAATGATCCATTTTACAGTTCTGTTCAGTGACCATGAATAATAGTTCCAAGACGAGGCTTGAGTTGCCGCACATGATAGACTGTAGTTTTGGTTTGCAACTCCAACTTCAACATGCAATTATTATTTGTGGTCACTGAACAGAACTGTGAAATGGAGTATTCATAGGTCCATAGGTCACATCATGTCTCATTTGGATTTTTACAATGACAAGTTCATAGACTAGCAATTTTTTTGACAAATTAAGGCTTTGAATCAATCTAGACATAGTATTTTTACGCCAAAGGAATTAGTCTTTCAAAAAACATTAAAGAAATAATTGATAAAGCTCTTTATCACTGTTTTTTCGTAGCATTCTTATTTACGTGCACAAAGGCACAACCACTAACCTTGGAAGCCATATTCTTTCGTCTTGGACGACGTTTTTACTTTGTTTTTTAATCGTTCAAGCAAGCTACAATATAGCCATATGTGCTACAGAAACAAATGTTTTTCTTCCTTATAGGTCAGTATCGAAGATAATACTGGGGAACTTAAGAAATTCAGGGAAAAACAACGAGCAAATAGTGAAATACTATGAAAATATTTCAGACTCTACCCATCATGCAACACTGTACTCTATATTACCCAGAATGCAAATGTTTTTTTTGTTTTTTTTTTTAATTTTAAAAAATATCGTAAATTTTCGTAAGGATTGATGTAAACATTGATAAAGGCTAGAATTTCCAAACATTTGATCAAAAAAAATCAGGCGTGTCGTTCCTTTAATAATTCATCCTTAAAACGTTTTAGATTTAAAAAATACTAGTATGTTGTTTTCTTAGAGTGACAGTAAATTCATTTATAATTATCGAGAAAAATCTAACTATTTCTTTGCAGTTGTTTTGTTTGTGGGAATTATTTTGGTCTAAGTGTGCTTCAGTCTCCTAGTCGGCTGTGCAAAGGCTGAAAAGGAGCTGAAAAGGGAGATTCCTGTGTAATTAGCCTCGATTTGATTTCGAGTCATCTAGGAACGCCTGTCAGGTATTAGCAGATAGAGACTGATTGTAATAATATACTAGTACACACAAATGGTAGCTGGCAGCTGATGGTACAACCATTGTTACATCATGAATAGCTACAAATTAACACTAAAAGTACATTCATAGCTGAAGCAGAAAGCCTAGTAACATGGCTTCCAATGTTAGTCGAAGAACTAACAAAAAGTCTAACTCCATTAAGAAAGGGGACGCTACTTCTAACCAACCAAAGACTAAGAAAAAATCCCACCCGGGAAAAGCCAAATATCTAGTCATATGTTTAGCCTTAATCGCCGTTGCTGTTTGCTTTATATATTTTTATCGTAGCTCTGAAAGCAAACCTTTAATGAAGTCGGACTCTCCAAAACAAAAAGGCAAACGAAGCTCCAAGTCTACAACATCAACAGACAAAACACGTTCGCCAACAAAAGGTAATATTGAAGTGGTCATTAAAAGTAATAGCATACGCTCTGCAAATATCTAGTTTAATAATCAGTTACTTTAGTTTGAATACAAAAGGGAGTTTATATACTTATCTAAATAAATTATAATCAAGGAGCTTAATCTTAATTTAAACACAGGGGAAAAAAACGGATTCCCAAATTGGGAATTTGTTGGGAATTTTCTTGAATTCCCAACGAATTCCCATCCAATTCCCAGAGAGAACGAAATTGGTAACGTGTCACTGATTCCCAATGTTAGTTTGTTGGGAATTTTGTTTTTCTATCGGGTATTCTTCGATTGCACGTTACATCATCGCTGCCTCTCGGGGGAGCGTTGGTGCCATTTAACAAAAGATTTCTCATTAGCATCCATTGTTAACAGCACCACAATGGCCGCCATGCTTTTGTCTTTTGAATCTCTTGGAAATGCTTGCAACCCATCAATTAGAAGGAAATTCCCAACAATAAATCCCAACGTTGGTGTATGAATTGGGAATTCAAGGAAATTCCCAACAATTCCCAATTTGGGAATCCGGGTTTTTTTTTCCTGTGAGAGTGGGTTGGGTGGGTTACCCTGAGCTTATACTCATTCGTAATGCAATTTTGATGGGATTATAACTGGGAGGGCTTATATTCATGGGGGGCTTACAACCAGGAGAAAAAGGGTATTGAATGAAGAGGAAATGGTCATTTCTTTCTCTCATATATGTTCTTGTCAATCTCTCATGTTTTATCAACAAGATAAACGAGATGAGCTTATAACTGTAAGGATATTTGTATTAGCAGACTAATGGGCTTATAACCAGGAGGGCTTATAACAAGGGGAATGATAACAAGTAGGCTTACGACCAGGGTTGTATGGTAGGCTTTAGGGGCAGATTTAGGGGATGGGCCGATGGGACTGCAGCTGGCCCCCCTTTTTTTTTGAAACAGCATATTAACAATTGTATTTGTATACAGTTTCTCCATACAGTCCAGCCCAACTTTTTCTTTGATTCCTGGATCTGCCCCTGGGCTTTGACCTAAGATTTTTTCAGGTGATCATTTGGGAGGTATATGAAATTTTGCTCTAATTTTCTCTGTATTTTGAGTGGGCTTTACAATTTTTTAGCTTTAAAAGTTGGGTGTGTTTAAAAAATTCAGTATTGCTCAGTTTCACTTTCATTTACCACTTTCTCACCTTTGTCTCATAACTCATTAATGATCCTCAAGGGTGCATTTTCAGAGTATATAGTAAAGGCACATTTGGGAAAAAATAAAACTATTACTGGTCAAAATCTCTCCAGCTGACACCATTTTTTGTTCTACAAATTTCCTTGTTAGGATTGATATGCGCTATAGAAGTTCCCATTATCATAATAATAAGACGGTTCTAGCACATCACAACTGGGTCCTGATGCCCTAACAGTCGGGAAAAACCAAAATAGAAAAAAATTATAAAAATACATAAAGACATAAGCAAGAAATCAAAAAACTCTACATAGATTAAGAACAAAAACTATATATTTACAGATATACTTGTATCCTATGATTATAAATAATACAAATAATTATTATAATTTTTGCAGTCAACCTTCCTGTGACTGGCAGACAACTGCTACTTGAAACACAGCATGGTTTCAGTGTTTCCATTATCTATTGAAATATACATTTTAGTGATATTTTATTTCAAGGAAACAAAAACTCTAGACATCAGGAAATGTTATGGTGATAAAAACATGAAAGCTCTCAGCTTTCTAGTTCTTATCCTATTTCAGTTTTATGAAAATTATCTTTCTTTGATTTTTTTAAATGCCAATTCCATACTAGACTAGGACTTCTATTTAAGACTTAATTTACAAAAAAATAAGTACCATTGTTCTCTCCTAGAAAGCTCTTTTCATTTCAATCTGCATTGTCTAAATATGTGTAGTATCATTGTTATATTGCTTGTTTTTCATCAAAAAGGATGTTTATTTAGGTAGTTTGTTTAAGAGTTAGGTACTTGGTAAATTTTCCTCTTCTAAAGCTCTTTTCACATTTTTATTATTAAAAAACAAACACAAAATTGAACTAGTTTACATATCCCTCATTTTATCAATGTGAAAATGAGTCTTGGCAATACAGGCCAAAGTTATAATTTCTCAGAATAAAATCGCAGATTGACTTCACCTTTCTTATATTATCAGAAATTTGGCAACTTTATTCATTCTGTTGAACTAGTTGGCTGTGAACCTTAGCTGTGTTTGACCAGTTGTTTGTGCACATTGAATGGATATATTAAAATTCTAACTTGAGAAATATTAAATTATGACACTGAACCTGTTCTTACTATCACTAGAAAGAAAATAGGTCTTGCTCCTAAGAACAAAACATTAAGGGATGAGAAAAAATTGCTTTTTTCAGGTGCTTATTTCATTTGGGTGTACTGTTTTACATTTTTAATTAAAGTAGAAATCAAAGAAATGGAAATTTGTTTTGTTTTTTCTTTTTTTCCCTTTCATTTCCGAAAAGGAATAAGCCTGAAGCGAGATGACGTTTCACCCTCGATTCTATATCATAATAGTTTTTAAAATTCTTTCATATTAAAATTTTTGATTCCTTAGAGAATACAGGAACAATAGTCATAATTAAAGAACAAAAGCAATGTGAAAAGGATTATGGTCTAGGGACGGGGGTAAAACGTCATCTCGCTTCAGGCTTATTGAGAATAAAAGCTTGGGTTGATGAGCCTTCATTGCCCCCTCCTATCACCCAAATTTAATTTAGGTTCTTTACCTTCAACATGAGTTCCCTATGGTCTTTTCCTCATGCATAATCTTCTTTCTTGTTCTAGATGATGCCAAAGAAATTCCACCAGAATTAAAGGATTTTAACGCATCAATCCAAAAAGAATTCAAGATCACTCCCATCAAGATCGAAGGACAAACCCTTAAGTTCCAAGAGCTGAAGTCAAACTTAAGTAGCAGCGTTAGAGCATATGTTATTGAGAACTTCCTGAGTGACTTTGAGTGCGACAACCTCATGAGGGTCCACAAGAAATACCTTGAAATATTCTCAAAGAATGATCCAATATTGTGTTTTGACAGTCTCCCGACACTTAAAAAAAACTTGAAAGAATTAAAGCTCAAATATAAAGTATCCAATAAAGATTTTATTGTTGGGACTACGTGCTTGAATGAATCATTTTCCAGTCAACTGAAACCTCATTTCAAGTGGAGTTACAGCACAGCCTTTTATCCCGGAGAAAATAAGTTTTCTACGGCTTACGCAGAGAGGATACAAGATGCGACGGGATTGAAACAACAAAATGGCGGGAAATTCCAGATTACGTCTTATCCCATTGGTGTTGGTAAGAATAGCAAGGGTGAGGGGAGGTGGGTGGGTGTCCAGTCCCTCTTTGGTAACAGCCGAATCACTTGAAATCTTGTTACAAAAACTTCGACTTTCATGGACAGTTTTTAACGAATTTAAACGATAATTCAAAGATGCTATTCGCTTTATAACAATGTATTTCGAATTTGAAACTGACTTCTTAGTGCGTTTTTGCTTAACGCGTCCTGCGCAACCCACTTTACTTTAAAAAACGCTTGATCTACCTTTGCGCATCAAATATAATACTCGATAATTATAGAGAATCTAACCCGAGGTTTCAATTTCAGTTTTTCGCAAGTGATATTGATATGATATCTCGAGGATCTGTACGCCTTATTTCATCTAGTCAAATGATGTTGAATTTATCGGCTTAAGACAGAAACATCCGATGCTCTTAGGCTAATGATAAAGTGGAGGAATTACTAAGGGATTAGAATACTTAGAATCAGATCAAAAACGCTAACGTTTTTTTGACATCATTGTGATATCAGTTGGGACAGATATGGAAATGTAACTAGAACTTGCGTCTTGAAAATTCTTGAAAGCTAGTGAATAAGCAACATCTAACGGGCCTAGGCATGATGAACAGTGATCCCTTAATCAAGACAGTTATCAATTATAAAAGCCGCATGGTAATTGCGCATCAATGCGTTGATCCCACCTTTAATTAGCGCGGGATTTTTCCTGGTTTTCCCGCCTTAGTACCTAAAATATCTAAATTTGATCTAGAACGGCAGGTGGACACTTAACATATTGCCAACTTGTGCGCTTAAACGTCCCCATAAAAGCCATCAAAGTGCTGTTTGGGTAAACAGAATAGTCCCCTTCACAGTTTCCTGCGCCATCTTGAACTGAGGTAGCCGTGCCTTCGCATCGAAGCGAGACGAACGGTGAGCTTGCAATCGTAGAGACCTTTTTTAACACCTTGGACAATTATTCACATGTCTCTATCATTGCAAGCTCACCGTTCATCTCGCTTCGATACAAAGGCACGGCTACCTTTCAAGATGCGCAGGGAACTGTTAAGGAGACTATTCCAGATTTTCACATAGATCCCTATCCCTCTCTTGATTTTCTCATGTTAGCAAAAGTATTCCTAGCAGGTTTTGCACTCTCTCGCTTATTCCCCGGGGGGGGGGGGGGGGGGGGGGGGGGGGGGAGCGGATGGGCAGCAACTGTACCATAGCAATAAAAGATTCTCTATTGTTTAGGTTACAAAAGTCACACAGACTGCATAGTGTATGAGAAAGGAAAAGGAGAGCTGCGAGATCGTTACGCAACTGTTCTGGTGTACTTACAAGACGTTGAAGAAGGTGGTGAGACCGAGTTTCCTCTCCTGGGTATCAAAGTCAAACCCAAAAAGGGACTGGCGCTAGTCTGGAACAGCATGGATCAGGACGGGAATTGCGAGCCATTATCGCTACATGATGCCAAGAAAGTTAAAAAGGGCCACAAATACATCATACAAAGATGGTAATTTGATTTGATTATATTTGTCCTTACTTAATGAAAGTGGGCGGGTCCGGGCCATGAGTTCCGTCAGAACATTGTAAAGGTCTTTCAGTCTTTGCAAATGTGCTTTATTTTGGTCACTATTCTGAATAACGCAGACAATGGATGCGGAGGCAAAAACATTTTTTTTATCGACCGCACTTTAGATCTCGCCCCGGCGCTCAATCAGCACCTTACACTCTCCTCGCCCTATTCAAAATTCTGCTCCACAGTCCCCTAATTACTAGATCAAACGAAATTTGTCTCATATTATCTGGAATGAGTCTCAGAAGAATATACTTCGAGGCCTCACATCTTTGTGGTTTTGGCATTTGTAGCTTCTATTAAGTGCCGCATGATACGAAGATTCAATTCCAGCTAAGATATTCCTTAAACCTGTAATAAGCTAGACAAACTCGATTGCTTTGAATAAACTAGATTATTATTCAAAACTGGTGGCAGACTGGCTCATGTATTTTCTATTTACTTGGTTACCAGGCCAACCCGTTATTAAAGTGAATAAATTATAGAAGTTTTAAAATGCTTCAGGCCAATTTTTTTGACATTGTTTCGCGAAAAGGTATTATTAATTCGATGGATATTAAATCGACTTATGCACACATCAATAGTGCTAAATTTGAAACGGTCTTTAACAGATCTTCTTTAGAGTAGCCTGCTCCCCAGGGGTGAAGGGCGTGGTCTGTAGCGCACGTTTTTTGGTACCCTCGTGGAAGTAAAAATAAATACAGGAAAAACAACCTAAAAACAGATGGTTATTTTCATATGATTGCAGGTACTATTACAAGAGCTTCCTGACCCTTGGCAAACGGCCACCGGAACCGTCCCTTCCTAAACGTAAACGAGAACAACCTAGAGTCTCTTGCGATGAATATGAGCAGGGTAGCTGTCGTTGGTACGACGAATGGAACTACGATCACATCAAAGAATACGCCGCTAATGTCAGAAACATGGCGTAAAATCAGCCACTTATGATCAACTAAATTATCGCTTTGTCTTTTGTTAATCCCTCGTTATTCTAAGTAACAACGTTTGGGCTAAATATGAACAAAACACTCTTGAAGCTTCCCGTCATATTTCTGTAAATCTGTCCGTTTTAGTTTTTAAATCTCATTCTTTACTAAAAGCCGCTCTATGATGCTAGCTCAGGTGTCACTCTAATTCATAGTTTTGTTTGAAAAACTTAAATGAGAATGGCAAACAAATGCATGTGTTTTATTGTTATGCAAATTTTTTTGATAATAGCTCTTGAAAAATAGGTTCTCGATTCTACGACCTATCTATAAGCATATTGATTTATTCGATAAATTTAACTCTTGCTGCAAGAAAACTCGTTTTGTGGAAAAGTCTTTACTAAAACGACAAGTTCTAGCAATTTAAGCGACGCAGAATTGAAGCTCTACGTTTCATTTTAAATTTTGCTCCGGACGCTATCGTCTTTTTAGGCTAGTCTTTCCTAGAACTTTCGTCTTTCGCGTATTATCAAGCCTGTCCGTCCTATCCTGGATTATCCTTTCCGGTCTACACGTTGTCGTAATATTGACTTTAGTCGTCTTACATTAAGCTTTAAAACTGGTCAATTTGCATAATAGTAAGGAAACAATCATTTACAGGCGCCTTCAGCATGACACATGCTGGAAACCAAAAACTCAAACACCCAAAGACCAATAAACATTCAGCTTATTTATCTTGACATTTTCATCAACCACGTTTCGTATTGTTTCCTAGAACAGTTGCCAGTCCTGAAGGCACTGACTGGGTTTATGCAAGCTAAAGGCTCTTATATATTTATTTTGACATCAGTGAATTGTCGTTCTTTTGTGTATTTTTAGGTCTCTTGTTACTAGAAAATTCTGTTTTTCATATTCTTTGTTTACGTAACATATTGCAATATTGGGGCCCTACAAGTAAAATTTCATATTATTCAATTGTATTTTTTTTTCATTTCACGGGTGGAAAAACTTATGGTACATTGACTATCTCTCAAATGGCTTTCCTTCTGAACCAATCAAAAGATGAGAAGCAGCACATTAGCCAACCACAGTGCTTGATTGTGGAAGCCATTTGAGGGTCAGAGCACTACACTTTTCCCACTCATTCAAGATCTCTTTAAGATAAAATTAACCACGAGTGCCATTAAGCAGAGATCTTTGCAGTGAAAATTTTTCAGTTAGTTTCCCATTATCCATTTTTCATTGAGTAGAACAAAAAGCCACAACAATTAATTTGTTAATCCTTTTTAATAAATTATGAAGACCAAATGACAAACATTGGGCATACAAACTTGCTCACTAATCAGTCATGTTTTTGAGGTTATAAGATATGCATAGCATAGGTACAAATATACAAACAAAATAACTTACATGATTGATTAAATACATCATTATAAAACAACACCCTGGTGCATTGTGGGCTTGGTTTCTTCGTAAAAAAAAGAAAAAAATATATAAAGAAATGTTATGAACAAGAAGGTATACCCCTTCTGGCTTCATTTCCAAATGACCTGCATTGGGTCGACACTGAGAGCAATGGCCAGCAGTGGGACAACCTCTGGAACATGAAGCTTACAGTCAAACATACCTTTTAATGTTTTGAGTTAAGGTCTTTGTAAGTTACAATATTAAATATCTAGAGGGGGTGTAAGGAAACCAAGCTCACAGCACACCAATGAAGAAGTATATCAAAGAGTTGGTAGTAAAGAACAAAAAAATCAAGTATGCATCAAAAAGGCAAACTTGCAGTGTGGGTGTCTTGGATGAATAAATCTCTAGTAAAGTTTACATAATTTTGTTAATGATGCCTCATATTATGTATAGATATAGATATATATAGATTTTTATGTTTTTGTAAAAATATACAAGTCTTTCTTTAGCTCTCTGGAGTTCAACCATAAATATATACATCCAAAAGGATAATGTACATCAGAAACTACTTCAGTTTGCCATACAAGTAAGTGTATGTGAAAAAAATCGCTTTCTTTTCCATCAAAAAGGAAACTACCCTTTTATAGAATTTCTAATCAACTCTCACAGCTTCAAGAAATCTAATTAACATTTTTGCTTTTATAAAGCACAAAAATTGTAAAATTATCTTTAGCAAACTTGACATCCTAATAATTAAAAACAGAAGCTGTAGCAGAGGGTTACATAATGTCTGAAAAGACAAACTTTTTTCAAAATAGAATCATTTGACATGCATTCAATGATTTGGTGATGTTAAGTTGTAAGTTTAAAAAATGGAAAGGATGATCATTATGATAGCCCTGTATTAAGGTGTGAGTAGAAAATATCTTCAGTAATGGCTAGGTAGGAAGTTGCGTTGGAATAAAAAATCAAAGCTGGTTTTGCAACAGAATTAACATCTACTGAACTAATTGGTCAGCTTACTGGTCGACCACAAAACAGTTAATCGAGACTCTAAGGTCATTTTTAAGGATTATTCAAACTTGTACCTTGCAGCCTTTGCCTAGGTAACTTTTAGTTTAAACTGGTGAACCAATGAAAAGGAAAGTGGCACATCAATGAAAATGCCTGGGCAAATAAATGCCATACCAGCATTTACCAGAGTCTCAAAAAATCTGCTCTGTGATAGCTATAGCCAAAATACAAAGCTGAACCATCTGATTACAATAACCATAATACCTTCAAATTATTCACTTTGTTCATAAAATTGTATGATAATCATAATAAGTTTACTAAATACCAATAGAATAGTCTTAAAAAGGACCACAGCAATGGAAAACCTAGGACCCAGCTCAAAAATACTATGGTTACAAACACATTCAACTACTGGCTACTTGGGATTGATTACCTAACACTGTTTCACCTAAAGAACACAAGACCATAGAGGGACTTCACCTTGTTTTTTGAGAAGTGACTTACTGAGTTGCTTCCACTGAACTGTGTGCACTGACAAGACCAACTGCTGGTGTTATAGCCATTGATGGATATGACGGCAAAGCACTAAATGCTGAAACATTACTAAGCATGAACTTTACTTTGGTCTTGTCAGGTCCTGTGAATTGTCTCTCGGCATCACTGGAAAACAAAAGGGAGACACCAAATAAATACTAGGTAAATAATATGATGATAATCTAATAATACAGTTACTTTTGGAGAACAAGGTTTTCATATTGCAACCACATTAAGTGGGTACATATGCAAGCAGTTTCAGAGGTCCAAATTATATAACCTTTTATAATACCTTTTGCAGCAATCACTCTACAGGCTTGGAAAAGTATAAGCTGGTCAATAAAAATACCCAGCAAATTTAACTACTGAGCCTGAATTTTAGTTGTGTAAAGCTGTATTACTGCTTGTCCATCATTAAAGTGCACATGAACCCTTCGACAATACTTTCAGTACTGATTCTACATGAAGTAAATAGTTGAATGGTAAAATATTTCTTGATTTGAGTGATACGTTTCTAAGTTATGAAGGTTTATACTTCCAATATGCTAATGAGTGYGACGTCTATTAAGGCTTAATCAAATATACAAAATCGAACTGGTTCATAGAAACAGTATTTAAAAAGCATCATTATTTTACTCATGGTTTACATGAAAGCTATTTACAATTTTTATTTTCAAAATGGCCAGCATTTAGTATTATTAGTTACAACAAAAACACTCAAATACCTTACCTGACGTCATCATCATTAACATATTGGAAGTATAAACCTTAATAACTTAAAGACGCATCACTCAAATCAAGAAATATTTTACCAATCAACTATTTACTTTATGCAGAACCAGTACTGAATGTATTGTCAAAGGGTTCATTTGCACTTTAAGACTTCATATGAAGATGCTGGTTGTTTCTTAGTAATTAAAACTGGATTAGCAATAATAACTATCCAGTGGATAATTTGATGCTGTTTTAATTTAATTTCAATTTTATCCACTTAATTTTAATTTTATTCCCTCGTTGTGCAACGGGATCCTGATGGATAATTGAACCAATCAGCTCAGAAAGCAACAAAACCAATATATGTGTTTTTATATATGTAACTAAAAAGTTTAATGTTACCAACAGTCCAATGGAAGGAAATGGTATTGGTTGGGGTATAGATTTTGGCATAGATAATTGGCTTATGTTTTCACTATATTTTGATTGGTTAACTTTATCAGAGTACTCCTGGTTGGCTGGCTTGGAAAAAAAGGTTGATGTGACAACTTACTCTAGGTATTATAATGTTCATTACCCTTTCCTGACCTTGGGATTTTCAAGATGGGGAGGGCAAGGGATGTCAGACAAGACTTTTTTTTTCATATAGTAGTAATATGGATGTTTTTCCAAACACAAATAAAAGAAATAAAAATCTTGCTCTAGTTGTTACCTATCAATATCTTCTACATGAAGATGTACTTTCTCTGCTCCATCTGGTGGCTCCCTTGCAAATAAATAGGTATTATTTGGTTTAGGGGATGAAGCATACTTGGGAATCCCAGTTGGTTCTGGAGAACCACCACTTTCCTGGTTCTCGACATCGTTAGTTACAGTATCATTGATACCACCAGAAGAAGAACATCTCGAATTTGACTGATAGTCGATTGATCCTGGCATGATTGGGTAAGTTGGTGAAGCAGAATGGCTGCGACTACTGCTGTTTCCACTACTGTCTTGGCTGTCAACATTCTCCGACGGTGTTTGTGTCTGTGTGTCAACAGTATTGAAAGGGCTATTATCCGACAGTATTTCTGGTACAGGAGCCTTTCGGCCATCTATTGGTTCAAGGACCTAATAAAGACAATAATAAAAAATATATATCCATAAGCATAAAAACCAAATTGGACAGTTTCTTCATAGTTCATAATTCCATTTTAACAAGCAAGCATACTGTAAATCTTAAATTAACTCCATAGCTACTTTGGCATGTCTGTGTGTAGTTAGGAAAATGAAAGTACATGTCGCAAAAGCCTGGGCTTTTTGGTGTCAGGTATTCACTTAATTAAAACTGATAAAAATAGTCCATAAACATATATTAAATGTTTCATTCCAACAAATGAAATGTTAGTAGAAAAATATTAAAATCATCCCAAATTTTTTTTAGACAATGGAAATCAAGCAACACCATCATCTCTTAGTGCCAAAGATGTGCATCAAAGTATATCTAGAAAATTCAAATTATTCCATCATATTACTAGCCTAAAACATTATCTTGTCTAATCCTAAGCCCATATTTATTGACACTAGCTCAACTTATACTGAAGTTAGACAGACATGTGTCAAAATGAATCTGTTTCAAAGTAAATACTAACCTAAAGGTAGAATTCTGGGTTACAAATGCCACACATACATTTTATTTTATTGCACGACAAGGCATTTATTTATAATTTTTTTCCAATATAATGATTGTATGTGCACATATTTTTTTGAACTGGCAAAGTTTGGTCAAAACCTTGCTAGGAGTAGGTATGGAGTGCCTTATTTATATTACTTTGTTATTAAGTGTCTGTATGGATAATTTGCTGTTTGTCTAAATTCAAATAATCTACTTCTGTTTGCTCAGCTTAGCAAAGGGCTATTCTTCTCACATCCCTAAGGCTTTCCAAAGCTAATCAAGTACTCAAAATTTTCTTCCCAAATATTTTTGCCAATTTTCGCCAACTATTGGTCTATTAATTTTCATACATTCTTATAACAGTCCCTGTAAGAAGCTCCTGTAAAGCTAACTTATTTCTAAGCACCACATCTATCTAAATTTTATGCCCGATAAATAAAATTAATATTCATGGAATTAAATTGCTAATTGAATAAAACAAGAGAAAATTATGAAATTAATTAGACAGCCCACCTTATCAGAGGAAATGACATCAGATTTGCGTACTAGGGTTTGTATTTCACTATTAAGTGCCTCGACACTTCTTCGTTGTGGAACTTCTGTTGGTCTTGAGGCGATAGGGATTGGTATGGCTAGTGACTGAGTTTTATACTGGATTGCCGAGTGGTCTCCGTGGACAGGAGATTGCCGACCATAACTAACAGCACTTTTCTTTTCTTGCTTCTTACGCTGAATATGCTGTTTCAATTTCTAACCACAGTAAAAAAAATAATCCCTTATTAATTAAAGATATTAGTATTTTTTAATTCACATTATTAAAAGATCTAGAAAGTAACTAAACAAATAGAGTTGTAATCCCTTGTGATTCAAGTATAGATCTTTAAATTTGAATACCTCTCTAAGATCTGCACTTCCCAAGGAAGTGGATCGCTTGTGTCTTGACAAACTCTCATCACTTTTCCCTTCCTCCCAAGCTGGAGTCTAGAAATACATAATATAACATAGCGGCAAGGTAAATACTCCCCTATATTCAATGCACATTAATTTTTGGGGAATAATCATTTTAGTATTTTTAACACAAGTGCATGTTATATTCAGCTGTATGTGGATATAGCAGCATAAGACGTGAATTGTGACCAAGGAGTGTCCCGGATTTATTATTTTCACCTGTGCAATAATACTAAGGTGGGATAGTGTCTCCTATGTATATAAAAAGTAATGATATTTTGTGAAAAGAATAGGAAGCAGTCACTTGTGCCTTGAATTAGAGCAAGATAGTAGCAAGCTTAGGAACAAGAGGTATTACTCTTTCTTTTAAAGTGCTCCATAGCTCCCAGAGTATTTATATCACAGTACAGAGATAAAAGCGGGCATTTCATATTGCTTATATGAAATATTTTTTGGACAATTTTGCAAGAGCATGTCTCTGTCCTTTGACATAAATAGGGTAACCAACAAATCAGTACGTGTGTTCTATCTCAAATATTTTATAAACTGTGATATAAACACTTGGATGTACACACATCTTAAATAGAATGCAGTCATGAAAATAAAATTAAAAAAAGGAAAGAGAAAAAAATAGAATTATATGCTCTTTCAAAAGTGAATAAAAGAGAAACCAGATGAGTTTCAATAACATGCTAGTTTTCAATAACAGGAAAGATGAAAGTATATCTATTTTGCATAGTTTAATTATCTTTAGGATAGAAGAACTATAGTTATAGAGGAGGTTCAAGCTGTGAGCAATTTCCAACCATTCTTATATTACCTTGAAATTCAACTATAACGTCATGGATCGATTCATAATTTAAAATGAAAATTTAAGACAAAAATAATTTAATAAATTGTGATTGATGAGTGACAGGGTTCTTTGAATCTTTTCTTTTATTCTTAAACAGCATCTTATTGGATGTTGAAATTTTCTCTTCGATTTGGAGATGCAACATTATTTGAATATAAATTAAGTGACTGAAAATGAATACTTTCGACAATATGTTAAAAAAGGTTATCATCTATGCTCCAATGTCAATAGTATAAAGCTCAGCAAATTTAGAAATAATGTAGAATTTCCTGATAAAATTTGTCACTGTACTTTAAATATATATAGCACAACTCTCATAAGTGACTATTCATTTGCAAATACTACTATAGCAATACTTTACTAATGCATGACAATTCTGATAAAACATTAATAACAAAAAGCTTATAGTCCAAGTCATTTTTTTATGCAGATTACAAAAATGTAAGACCATCACTATTAGGGGTCTTGGCCTGTCTCCTATTTCATGCAACTTATATTCCTTTGTTGGTTGACTTATCAACAGAATTTTCTTGAAGCACCTCTAATTTATGAGAATTATCACGTCAAGGTTTCTCATCCATTGTGCTGATTGCTTGAAATATAAGCCCTACTAAATAAACATTTTGGACAGTACATTTAATGTGGTATATCTGTTTGTAGAAGACATCACTATTTGACTTGTATTTCCAAAATTTTGACTGCTTACAGCCAACCATTAGAAGTTTTTATGAAGGTAGGTAATTCCCAACAATTAATAATTCTTCCTTTAATTCAGTTGCAGAAGAAATCTTGGGATTTCAACAGCTCTTTAAAATCAAGGAAAACTCTAATGATTGGTTGAGGGTTAATCGGTCTGTGGTAGACAAAGTTCAATAAAAACCCCGGCACATTGACAAATCTTTTTAGCACTACGATAGACATTTCCGATTTAGCGGCATAGGGAAAGTATATTCCGCATTCTATAATCCGACCGGAATAGCATAAATTAAAAAGAGCTATCATCATTTTATTCCAGA